AGACGGCGACAGTTTGGTGTAAGGAGCGACTCAGCGGGAGGAGACGCAGCGCCCGGGCCGGCGCCCCCGGGGGCCAGGGGCGGCTCGTCACTGCGGCTCCGTGGGCAGGCCCGGGCCCCTGAGAGCGCCGCCAGCTCGCTCCTGTTACAGCGCTGGTCACCTCCTCCCGAGCCCCTCAGTTTAGGTCTCCTCTAAAACCATCCATCCCAGCTCTGCGGGACAGCCCCAAACGCACAGCTCATTTAGTTCGTAGGAGCCTGGACTGTCTCCACTGACCTTTGATCTTCCCAATTAAGAAGTTCTTTGAGTTCACAATCTGATCCATGTCTGAGCGGATGGTTCCTTCCAGGCCCTTGGCCAGAGCCCTGCATTCCTCCTTCAAGGCACTGAATCCCTCTGAAACTTGATGCTGAACCAGGGTGTAGGCCTCTTCCAGGAGCTGCGACAGAAAACACATAAATCGGGGCTCTGCCGTGCGTCAGCGCCCCACGGCGTCAAGCAGAAGGGGAAGGATTAATCACAGCCCATCACGACATAAACAAAACCACGCGCACATTGCTCGTTTTCTTTCGCAGTTAGAGTCTGTTTGGATTAGTCCTCATATGAGTGACACCAAGCAGACTGGGCCTTTCCCCACACAGGGAAGGAATTATGTATAAAAAAAAACCCTAAAAAGGGAAGGGAAGGGAATGTCCGTTTGGCGCAGCACAGCTGCAGAGAACACCATCACTTACGCCGAACCAGGCCCTCTTTCTGTCATTTTTCTTCCCCTTCATTTTGGGCAGGAGGTCTGTCTGAAGAGTTGGCAGGAGCTCCTCCATCACCAGGTTACTCAGGATCTGTCGAGAGGAAGAGGCCCCAGAGCTGGTTCAGTTGGTGACAACTAAATGTGAGCGCTGGGGCAACTGAAGGTGCCCTGACCGGCTCTCCCAGTCTGGCTACGTAAGCCCGTGCTGGGCACACGAAATCTCAGGTTCATAGCTCGGCTCTGGTCTGAGGCCACAGACATCTCAAGCAAGACAATGTTAGAAGGGAAATACATACAAGATCTTGTGGCGGCTCACAGCGAAACAAAATGCGACAAGGAATATATGTATGTTCATGTATAGCTGAAAAATTGTGCTCTACACTGGAATTTGACACAACATTGCAAAATGACCATAACTCAATAAAAAATGTTTAATAAAACATTAAAAAAATTCTTAAGCACCTGCAAGAAACAGTCACATCTGCAGACATCTTCCCATCGGAAAGGACCAATTCCTCAAATTGAAACTCCTTGTATTCATTTCTTTCTTTTTCTTTTTTCCTTTGCCCTGACCCTAACCCTAACAAACTTCTCATATTCAAACTGCAGATGCTAATGCACTTAGGGTAAGAGGGGAACTTCAGTTACGGCGAAGGGCACCCTTAGCAGAATTGTGAAGGGGGTCAGCCTAGGTTTTGGTGGCTCAAGTCCTTGCCTGTGTCCCCCGAGACCAGTTCTCCTCAAGCTTTCTTGGGATCTCAGTATCTTCATGCTCTTTGTTCCCACTGCACCCTGAATCCCCACCTCTATCTTCTTTTAAGTTTAGGGGGAGCAAAAAGGGAGTAACAAACACTTTGGAGCAACTGGCTATTTGTGGAATGAGCAGAATATGGGAGGGGACTGTCAATTTTCAGAGTGCCTTTAAAAAAATTATTCCCAGAATTTTTTTTTGGCTCAATGAAAATATTTCTTTTGAATCCGAGCAGTGATCTCTATGGCCATGCAAATGCTCCACGTAGCCCTGGCCCTTCTTCTTCACACCCACCGCCCTAACTGGGGCAGCATTGGTGTTTGGATTCACTTTTACCATGAGTCTTGGGGCTCACAGCTCAGCTTTCAACATCAGGCTGCAGCCCAAGATTTATAACAGAACAAGAGTTATTTGGGGGAATGGAGACAGGCAGAGAAGTAGAGAACCACTGGACATCTGTTCTACGAATTTAAAATAATATTTGTCCAAAGTAATTGACTTTCTCATAAAAGCTCATAAGCTTTGGGAATTAAGACAGGCTTTTCTCTGAGGTCATCGGTCAGCCTCATGCTAGTGGGAGCACTCACGAGCTCACTAGATTTTGCCTTTCACCAGGGCTCTGTTTACAGCGGGATGTGGGCTCCAACTGACCTGAGCAGGAATGCCCTCAGGGTGGAGGTGGGCCAGTCCCCCAGCCCCCCTGGGCCTGGGGGTCCCTAGGAGAGGAGGCTTCGAGGGTCAGAGCATGAATGGGGCTCCTGTCATTTGCAACGTGGAACTTGGGTGTGACAAAGACTATAGTGGGGCAGGATTTCCACCAGGCTCAGTCATTGATCGGTGGGGGTGTTTTTACCTTTCTTAATCCTTCTCTGGGGGCCCCTTGAGAGGTGAACCAGCATTTTTGAGGAGTCTAAGAGGAAGGTGACATGTGCAAACTCCATAGAAATCAGCAAGTCCAAAAATTAGAGTCAAGCACGTGATCAATAATTCATGAGCCCCCAGCTGGCCCAGTGGAACACGTCTGCCCAAGGGTGACGACAGCGAGGCAGGGCGAGAGGGAGCCGAGAGCCTGAGGAGACTGAAGCCCGGACTTACAATCTATGGGAAATATTATCTTCGTTGAAAAGTACTAAACTCAGGAATCCTAACAATTGTCTGAATTCATCCTTGTGCAGAGACTGGTTTGCCTCTGAGCCTGAACAAGGAAGGGACTTGAAGGCTGAAAGCGTTCTACAGTCCAAAGGGAAAGAGAGCTCCACTTGGGTGGGCCTGTAGACTTCTTCTGTCTTTCCCATACGACGTTCCAAGAAATGTGGTTCGATTTTATAACGTAGGAGCTGGAAAAGGAAACGTGTCTGGGAAAAAGAGGAGGGGGAGGGGAGTGGGTTGCAAGGGGGGCTGTGATTAGAGAAGAGCCCCAGAGGCAGGCAGGGCCTGAGGGCCCCAGCGGCTCGGCTTCTTCCCGGGACCCCCAGCCCCGGCCCACCTGGCCGAGAGCTGCTCCTCAGCAGCCCGGGCCCTGCTCCGGGCTCCCCGCCGCCATCGGCCGTCCCGGGCAGGGTCCAGGGCACTCGGGCTGTTCTACAGAAAGTAGCTAATCTACTGTAAAATAACATGCGAATGAAGAGGCCCCCCCCACCCTTCTCTCCCCAGGCTAGGATTCCAATGAATCTTACCATCAGGGACCTAAAAATATCACCTGTGCTTTGAAAAAGGGGGGTGTGTGTGTAAATGTAACTGCTGGGATTTAACTGGGAGATTAAACATCCCACCGCACATGTGAGAAACCTAACATGCCATTCGGTTGATCAGGACCAGCAAACCCCGGCTCACCCCCTGAAGGCCGCAGCTCGTGTGGCCTTCCAGATACTGTGGCCGTGAGGAAGGCGAGGCCCGGGGGGCCACCCCCTTGGTCTGACCGGGCTGTTGGCCTTGTACCCTTTGTGTTACGGAGCAGCCGTGGGTGAAAGAATCCATTTAAAGGGGACACCTCAAGGTCATTAGGCAAAGGACTACTCTGGAACATATGAACAAAGCCTAAAAATGTAAATAGTTTTCTGGTCTTGAAACCATTCTGATCTGTGGGAACTATGAGCTATTCTTTTGGCCTGTCTGGTTAATTTAAAGGCAAACAAAATATATATATACCACGTAACTTATATTTTCATATTACAAAATTCTTTCCCTTATGATTTCATTTGATACATTTTTATTGACAAGCAGAAAATACATTGATGCTTTTTACTGGTGTACAAATATTTTCACCTTAAGAATCTGTCAGGCAAGTTATTCTAAGATATTTGCTTTGCCTGGACACTTGCCTAAAATAGCCATCACTACCAGGGCAAGTCATTCTTGCTGTGTGAGTCATTACTATGAAGATAATCACATAACAATGCTGAAAATCTTCTGAACACAGCCCCCTGGGGTAGGGGGTTAGGGCAATGTTGTGAGTAAGCTCTCAGCAGACATAAAAAAATGCAAATAAACTCAGTGCTTTAAACAAAGGATGTCATATTCTCAAACTCAGCTATGCCGTGCTATTTTCTTTAGCTATGCGGCAGCTTCCTGACCGCTTTTTCTGTGTGAGTCCCAGGACAGATGCTGCTTCCGCCCCGTGTGTAAGCAGTCGTGACGAAGCTGGCACCTTCCAGGCCCCGCACGGGCCAGTCTTGGAAAGCATTTCCTTTCACCAGCTTCTCTAGGGATCACGACATGGCTCAAAATGCATTTCTGTCACAGACTGGCTTTGTGACTTTGGACCAGTCTCTCTGAATGTCCTTTCTCTCACCTGGACAAATAATCCTGAAATGCCCTTCCAGTGCTCACAAAGACACTCAGATTCCTGGGGGAGCAAAACTTTTTATTGGGTGCCTTGATAACTTCAGCTTTTATTCATTTCTTCTCTGGTTTTTGTTTTGCTTTGTTTTCCAACTTAAGGTATTTTTTTATACCACAAAATTAGCACCTTCCTACGACTGCTTCGTGCTAACGTTTTGCGATGTCCAGATACGTACAGAACCACGCCTGTACCCACACATGCTTCGAAGGCTGCTTTGTTCTCTGGATGTTTCTAGGTATGACTCGCCCCACCACGATGCCAAGGGATGAGTGACTGCACCCTCTTGCACCTTACAGCGCTTCGCACACAGCAGCCCCAAGCAAAGAGCAGGTCAGCGAAAGAAAACAAAGTCAATCTCAACTCACAGAAAGGACTCACTAAGCACCAGTTTCCAAGGGCGTCGTGAAGGAATGCGAGCTGGTGTGAGATTTCAAATGGGAGGAAAAGGCGAGCGTGTAGCCCAGCTACACGCGAGGAGCGAAGTACATGTCTAACTTGGGACAGTCACACGGTTGACGCTGACCTTTCACTGGACCAGGAGCCAGAAGCCATCGTTTCTTGGCCATTTATCCACTTGGCGTGTGACCCTGGGACAATCAGCTGCTCAGGGCAGAGACCACTCTGCCTTGCCCATCCCAGGGTCACTAGCACCCAGCATGGTGCCTGGCACACAGTGGCTCAATAAATGATTGTTGAATGACTAAAACTGGGCAAGTCACTTAATTGCTATATTTCTCCCTCAGTTTTCTCATCTATAAAGTAGAGATGAGAACTGCTCCACCCATCTCATGAGGCTACTGAAACAGACAGACAGAGTTTGGACTCGAACATAAAAAGTATCACACAGAGACATTTTACCACTGGTATATCCGTTAAATATGGTTGTTTCTCTGACAGGCCACTCGGTGGCAAGTGGTTCGGCCTCCCCTGTGCTTTCACTTTGCTTTGTGGCCTGAGTACAGTTAGACTTTAATCCTCTCTGATTTGTAAGTGGATGTGTTTCCTCCAAAGAGCAGAAACAAAGGATTGGTTAATGTTCTTGAGTTAAGTTTCAGGATGGGAAATAAGTGAGTTTAGAATCCACCAAAAAAGGGGAGGAGTAGGAAAGAGAGGAGGGGGAGAGGGAGGAGGAGGGGTTGGGGAAGGGAGGGGGGAGGAGAGGGGGAGGGGAGGGGAGAAGGGAGGGGAGGGGAAAGGGAGGGAGAGGAGGAGGGAAGGAGGAGGGCATGGGGGGGAGGAAGAGGAGGAGATGCTGAGTCATATGGCAGAACAATAAAGAACAGCCCACCACCATGAGAAAATGTTTTCGGCTTTAGGTGTTTGATGACCATACAAAAGCAAGACGCCATCTGGCACCTTCCAAATACTGTTTCCTTAAAAACAAAATTTCACTGACCCCAGAAAGAGGCATTCTAGAATATGAGGGGAAAATCAAAGAAGAACACTCTTGGACCCTGTGTGCCTGTAATTAAAAAATGCCCACACCCAGCCTCCTCCTCCTGACTGCATCAGCCGGGTGATGGGTGTCCTCACGGAGGACGGGCCACATCGTGCAACACAGTTCCCTTGGAGATTTGTAACAACGTGCCCGGTACAAGCCAACCAAGACACTTAGCCCATGACCTGCACCTCATCAGGATCGTGGGAAACTATACGGAACCACAGGGGACAGAGCACTAGAAAAGGTACGTGAAACACGCAGAAGACTTTCTAATGCTTTTAATATGTGTCCCTTAATTACGTCATTTATAAACCATTCCACAGATAAAGACAAGTATGTGCCAAATACTCTCCCAACAACATCTCATTCAATTCTCACAACCCGGCAAGGCAAACATCATTCTTAATTTTTTCAGACGGAGTACCAGGAGTACCACTAGGGGACCAAAAGAGGCTAAGGATCCTGGCAGGGTCTAGCCCAAGTCTGCTGACCTAAAGCCTCACCACGCACTTTGCACCATGCCTCGCTGCTCACATTTGCTTCCAGGATGGAAGCATGAGGTCATCGGAGAGGATAATGCTTTTTCCAGAAAGAAAAAAAAAAAATAGAAGTAGCTTTTCCACTGTGGTTGCAGTGTCTGGGGCTGCCCTGCTTAGTTCCTGGTCTGGAGGTCTTTGCGGAGGATGCCTAGTAGCTTACTGACCAAACACTTCCAGGCAAGGAGAGAAGTGGCCTTTGGAACCAAATCTTCCATTCTTGCAACTTTTTAAAAATTTTTTTTTATGACCCTGACCTCCTGCCACTCAGAAAAGGATCCAAAATTCTGAGCCCCATGTTACCTGGATTTCATCCCCAGTGATCATCTCGCACGAGCCATAGTGTCCCTTCTCCTGTCGGAAGAATTGCACAGCTTCCAAAAAGGCTTGGGCTTCAAATGTTGTCTGTTTCGAGTAATCTAAAAGGAAGAGGCAAGGGCATTTAGCAAAGAAACAATACTTGATCTTACATTTTCCTGTGGTTCTTCAAGTGTAATGGCTCAGAGACCTAGCATTACCTGAATGTTACAAGGGGTGGGATTACGAGACACAGACAAGTTAAGCAAGTACTGAATTCAAAGTTCATTTGCAGGTGTGCATCACGTTATTTGCTCACTAAACCAGCTGACGAATTCTGTCAGTTGCTGGACATACTGGTTAGGACCTGAGCAAATCTTTCCCTCTTCCTCTCTCTTGTAAATGCTTCCTTCAGGCACCAGGCACCACCAACCATAACACCTCACTGAGGCCGACCGTTCCTTAACAGAGCTTCACGTACCCAAGGAATCTCTCTCAGTTTCTCAAACAAAACTCCAAGTTTTCTGTGACCTGATACCAACTTGCTGTCAAAGGGACATCAATATAATACACTGATTTACGCAAATGAAGGATGATACTTGCTAACACTTATATAGCAAGATGCTGTTCTTCTAAGCATGTCACAGATTTCACTGAAACCTCACAAAATCCTCTCAGGTGAGTGTTACTGTCACCTGCAGTTTCTAGGTGAGGAGACTGAAAGCGCAGAAAGCTGACTTAGTTGCCTGAGGTCACACAGCTAGTCGGGGCGGGCACGCAGGGCGCCCGCCGTCAGAGCCTGCCCCCAAGGGCTGTACGGTCTTACCTCACGTACTAGGTTATGCGTTTGCCTTTCTGATACATTTAGAAGGTGTTATATCTGAGAAATAATACCCTACCACGAAGGGGTGGATATCTAATGGTAGACTTTACGTGTGCCGAACGGCTTTCCCGGAATTCCGCAGATCACACCAGGCATGCAAATAGCTTCACTTCTGCTGTGGACTGAATGCCTGTGTCTCCTAAAATTCTTATGTAGAACCCCCGTGCCCAGCGTGATGGTATTTGGAGATGGAGGCTTTGGGAGGTCGCGAAGGCAGAGCCCTCATGTTGGAGTCAGAGCCCATGTAAGAAAACTGTCTCTCTGTCTCTCCCTCTGTCTCTGTCTGTCTCTCTCTGTCTCTCTCTCTCTCTGTCGCTCTGTCTCTCTGTCTCTCTCCAGACTCAGGCTCTGCCCCCGCCTTGATCCTGGACTTCCAAGACGCTGGTGTGTGTTAGAGCAGTCCAAACTGAGCAGCAGGACTTTCAACATATAAGACTCGCTCATGGAGGACACAGTGATAACTGAATTACAGAAATCTTGGCAGGGAAGTGAATTCTAGAAGTAATCTAATCTAACAATAAGGAAATCAAATCTTAGAAAGGGGGAATAAAGTGGGTAAAGGGACGTGACTGAAAGGGCTGAGTCTTCTGCCTCCGGCTCTCCCCCGACAGGACCCGGAGCTCTCCTGCCAACAGCACACGGTCTGCATCAGCAGGGCAACACCAGATCGGCCCGCTGAAGGCAGCTGGTTCACTGGGGGGACCTTCAGGGCTTTAGCCAGTGGGATTGCTCAGTCAGGGATGGAAAGGTTGATATGAGGACTGAGCAGAACCAAAAGAGGGTCAGTCTGCTTCCAAAAGGGACAATCAGCGAACAGATCGCACGTGACTCTTGTGAGATTGGCTTACGGGGTCATAAGGCCCAGAACTCGGAAGGAGAAAGCACAACTCCTGGCACCGCCTCCATAGATTCAAGCAGAGTTCTTCACGGTGGGAGAACCGGGAAGCCAGAAGCTCCACCTTCAAAACTGCGGACAGCAACTGACATTCCTGACGTCAGTGTAAAGCTTTGGTTAAAATCTAAACCAGAAAAAGGGCAGGCCAAGAATCCGGTTTTTAAACTGAAGCATTTTCTTCCTTGCTATTTTTTTCTGGTTTGGCAATTGGCTTAGAGTTTCATCTTAGAGGTTCGGAAAACACAAATTAAGGTCTTGGTGTAACACTGACAAGAAGGGGGCCGCGATATGGGTTCAGCCCACTGGGAAGAAATACACCAACAGGGACGGAAGCTGTAATTATGACACTGAGACTCAAAACTGACTCATGTGCTCTTACTTTTAACAGCTGTTTTCATTTCCAAACTCAGGAAACAAAGAGATGGAAGAAAATGCGGTGCATTGATGGAGTGAGCGTTGCCAGGCCTGTGAGCCTGGGAGCGAGGTTTTAGGTTCTTCACGTCCCTACATGGAGCATAGATTTACTTCTTTCTCCCTCAGCTGACCTCGTAACTGGTGTTTCAGGAGGTACCTGAAATCCTGTCCATGCCATCTATATCCACGTCAAAGCCAGCGATGACACTCCCACTGAGAGCTGCATTTCCAAAGATCTTTGGAAAAAATAACTGAAGAAATGGGATTTGAGGGCAGTGATGTGGGAGTTAGAGAGACGTCAAAGAAGAAACAGAAGAGCTAGAAGGTAGTAACGGTGCGGGATGAGGCGCCTTAATACAGGCAGAGAAGAAAAGTGGTAGCAATCCAATAAAGGAGCATGAAGGAAATCACAGTCACTGAACACAGCAGTGAAGTTTAAAAGAATGAGGGCAAGGGTCTGAACTCTGGACTCTCCCGTTAAGACAGACTTAAACTGGATTTTAACTAACTCCTTTTCCATAAGGGAAAAAGGATCTAATCACCGATTCATCATTACATTTTCAGCTTATAAACTGATTAATTTATATAAAACTTTTAGATCAGTATCTGCCACATACTAAGTTGCTTTACGGATATTGGTTCTCATAATTGTAAACAAAGTTCAACGGTGACTGCCAGGTCATTAAGGAAATAAAGAACAAAGGCTTGCTCTGTAAAGACAGAACTGCATCGCCATGGTAATGTGAGCTTCATTTCTTCTAAGCTGTTTGCAGAGGTACTGCTGACCTCAGCCAGATTGTACAGGTGTTTGAGAGAAACCAGATTATCAGCTCTTTAATCGACTTCCTGCCACAGATCCCAGGGGAACAAGTTCCAGGATCACAATCAGCCACTTGCTCTCCTGCCAACAAGAAGTTGAGAGTCAGTTCAATGGCCCCCAGAATCAACAATGGTTTTTGATCTGTAAGCCTTCTTCCTGCCAGCTGACTTAGAAAAATGGCAGGCATCAGTTCAAACTCTATGCTCCCAACATGCCACAGTTATGAGGATGCTCAAAGAGGCAGATGTGCTGCGGAGAACTTAGGCTTCATTAAAGCCAGCTCCTTTGCTTTATGGATGAGGAAACTGGAACACGAAATAATTAATTTCATGGTTGAAGGTCACACAGCTGGTCAGAACCAGAGCCAAGAGTTGAAAAAGTGGCTTCGGCATGTCATAAGGAGGCTTGGCCCTCGTGCTTGCTTAAATCATAGACTATGGGTGTTCGAAGTGATCTCAGAAGTCACCCACCCCAAGCTTGCTCAGTGCTGGGAGCCTTCAGAATCCCAGACAGACACTTGTCCAGCCTTAGCTTGAATATTTCCAGTGACAGGAAACTCACAGCTTAATGAAATAGTCTTTTTTGTCACTGAACTGCTGTAATTATTTGAAAATTTCCCCTTCTGTTGAGCCAAAATCTGTTTTCATGAACTCTTGCTCTCTAATCCTGCCCCTGCCTTGCCGAGTAAAATGGACAAAGAATAAAATCACTCTTCTTCCACATGGTAACTCTAAAAGAGAACCACAGTCACTATTTTAACAGTAACTATTATTGTTATTTTCCTGCAATCATTCTTTAAACAATATAGTTTTTGGATCTTTTAAATGTGACCCTCCCTTTTCCTTTTTTCCCTTTGACAATTCCAACCTGTCAACATCTTCCTTAAATTTGGACCCTATACTGAACATAATACAAGAAGTATTGTCTAATTAGTGCAAATTATGTAAGTAGAAAGATGACTTTCTTTTTTCTGGTCCTTAACCTCTTTTTTTTTTTTTAATTGAGGTATAGTCAGTTTACAATGCTGTGTCAATTTCCAGCGTAGAGCACAATTTTTCAGTTATACATGAACATACTTACAGTCATTGTTGCATCCTTTTTTGCTGTGAGCTACCACAAGATCTTGTATATATTTCCCTGTGCTGTACAGTATAATCTTGTTTATCTGTTCTATATATGCTTGTCAGTATCTACAAATTTCGAACTCCCAGTCTGTCCCTTCCCACCTCCTCCCCTCTGGCAACCACAAGCTTGTAGTCTGTGTCTGTGAGTCTGTTTCTGTTTTGCATTTATGTTCATTTTTTTAAAATTCCACATATGAGCCTCTTTTTTTAATACAACAACATCATATTGTTGGCTCATACCTTTTCTGTAGTCCAGTAAAACCCCTGCACCTTTTTCATATAAAACCCTTGTTAATCTAAGCCTTTTCTAACGGATACTTCTGCTTTTGATTTTGAAGTGCAGGTTTTAACATTACCCTTATTAAATTACAACTTACCACAATCAGTTCTGTGCCCCAGAGCCTGCCAAAGCCATCACAAAACTGTAACTCTGTCCCCAGACTCCCTTTTACCTCGGCGTCGTCCAAAAATCGGGGGGGCTTGCCTTCTGTATTTCTATCCAACTCACTGATAAAACATTCATCAGATCAGGGCTGAGGCCAGAGCCCTGAGAAACCGTAAACATTTCAGGAGACATGTGGGAGACACATCTTGGCCATTCACTCAACAGCCACATCGTCAGGACCGAGACAGATCTATTTTCCATGGTCTCTCCTAGTTCTCATCTGTGCAGCTGCATGGAAAACTTGTATTTGGGAGACATGATTAAGGATTTTGCGAGAGAAGGAAAGTTTCTCTAGACCCCTTGGGGACAGTTATTCAGGGAGCCAGCCAAAGAGAAACCGCTTTTGTTTTTCTCCACTTGCACAGATTTATGGCATGCCTGAGTCAACTGAAGGGCTCAAGCGCCAAGGCCTATGTAGTCATCCTGGACTCTGACTCTGGCTGCCGTGCTGGGACTCCCTGACTCAGGCTGGGTTTGGAAGCTGCCTTGTTATTTTATTTTATTGGTAAGCGGTGCCAAGCCGTGCTAGCTGATCTGCCTG